CAGCTCCTGTCCCCCACGCTCCCTTGCCCACGGACGAGGTGGCAGCTCCTGTCCCCCACGCTCCCCTGCCTGCGGACGAGGTGGCAGCTCTGTCCCCACCACCGCAGAGCCGGGGTGGAGATCAGATCCCACATGCTGGCTCAGAGGGGCACACGCACACGCAGGAGGAAGCAGGGCCGGGCTCCCAGCATCCCTACCACCCTGTCTCAGGCGCCCCTGAGAGTTCGCCCGGCATCTGGTCACACCCTCATCAAATGCCAGCCGTCTGCACCCCACTTGTCTTAGTAGCTCCTGCTTATCCCCTTGCACCCCCTCCAGGGCACACAGTAGGGCCTCAACAAATGTGCTGAATATGTGAGTAGAATTTCTGGCAGTAATATAATCAGTAAATTCTTGGAACAAAACGCCCTGGGGTTTTCAAGGAGAATTTTTGCCAATTCTGCTGGAAAACTGCTAACCGCTAGGATTTCCAAAGCAGTAGTGGGGAACCCTAAGACTTACAGAAAAAATGATAGGAAAAAAATCTGTATTTTTATTGTGTAAGAATCAATGAAAACTCTAACTTTTCAGTTATGATTTTCACAAAACAGAGTTTTAAAGATGAGCCAGCTCGCTTCAGAAATTCATCTGGCGATAAACCTGAAGAATAAAACCATGCTGACGCAAGGCCACGGGTGGTCGTGGCCCGGCCCGGGTCTGCCCTGGGCCACCCTGCCGTCCTACGAGTGGCCTCGAGGACTATTCCGGTTTTAGGCAGTGTATCTGTTCCTTGAAAAGCACTCCTGCCTTCGGAGGCGGTCTTGTTACCTGACCAGGAATGACTGATTAGCTTGAGGGACACTGATGGTGCCCGTCTCACATGGGGCCTGGGCTGGGTGCCAGCCACGAGAAGACGGACGGGGCTGGCCCTGGCTGCCGGGGACCCCCGTGCGCAAACAACGACGACACACTTCCAGGAAGGGGGGCTGAGCGGGGACTGGGGTGCAGGGCTGTGGGGCAGCACGTGTGCAGACCAGCACAGAAGCACCTGCCGGTGAGGACGAGAGGCCTGGGCCCCACGAGGAACATCTGCGACCGTCAGGGCAAAGGGGCTCGTACACCCGTGCACAGCGGGACATGCCTGAGTCAGTGACGGATAAACGTGAAAGAACTGGGCAGATCACTGGATTTGAAAAATGTGGTTATTTTAACAGTGTTACCTTCTAAAGCAACAACAGACTTGACTGGAAATTTCTCGGCATCCAGTCCAGGACTAACGTACTGATTCAAGAAATGTTTGTTGTCAGTGCATCATGCAACTGACCCAGTGGTTCTTACAATTTAATTCTTAATTCAGCCTTTCATGGGACATCATGTGAAAATTTGTTTTAAAATTAAAAAAAAAGAAAGAAACACACTGGCTATTAACTGGTGATGGCATGTCAAAGCACTCTGTATGTTTCTAAGGATTTAAAAACAAAGAAAAGCTGACAATGTAACACATATCCTGTATAATATACTTCTTTTGAAACATTCCGAAGTGTTTTGATTTGTCTCAGATTGACGGTGACATAGGGAGTGTGTGCCCGGTGGGCACAGGGAACCGGAGCCGCCCCGGGCCGTGAGGGAGACGCTTTGCCAGAAGGACAAAGGTGGGGCCAGCAGCCCCCGGTGGGTTTGTACCTGTAAGATCGGAGCAGACACTGAGTTGTTAGATGGAACAATGAGGCTGCCAGGAGGGAGTCCGCTCACCCGCCCCACCTGCAGCCCTGGACAAGGGGCAGGAGCTTCTCGGAGCCCAGGGGGCAAGAACGAACAGAGGCTGGGGGAGTCCAGTCCATGGGGATGGGAGCGACGGAGTCACCAGCAAGGACCCTGGGCACCCTCGCCCGGACAGGCGGACTTTCTGGTCCTCTGGCCGTGAGGAGGCTGCGTGGGCGAAACGCAGGCTGGTGACGAGCGCTCCACGGGCAGCTTGGGAGCCGGGAGTGGACGCTGCCGATGAAAATAAGCCCAGGGCTTTCTGCTGACGTCACCCCCGCTCAGTTATCACCGCTGGACACAGCCCCGCCCAGCCCTGGCACACAGCCTGCAAACCACCTCCACCACGCGAGGGGGGCTTCCGTGGTAACGAGGGCCACCGAGGTGGCGGCCAGAGAACCAAAGACTAAACAGCCCATCTGAGGAGAACGTCGCTTAGAAAACGTCAGTGTAATTCCAAACCTCTAGCCCGAAAAGTCCCTGTAACGCTCTCAAGGTCCCGCAGAGGAATGAGTGCCCGGTGAGTCCTGAGTGTCTCGTGACCTCCACGCCAGAAACACGGCAGCTGGTGAGACTGTCTTCAAATCATAATAACAGGGCCCCTGAGGGCTGCCCCGCGAGAGAACATACAGGCATGTGTGCACACACACGGACGTGCATGGATACACACAGCGCACCCACCCACAGGGCACGCTGTATACACACACGTGCACATACCCACATGCGCGTGCGCACACATACACGTGTCCCAGCAACTCGAGGAGCTCAGGGAGGTGTGGGCTCCCAGGCGCCCCTGCTCCTGCACTGGGCTGGTGTCCCGAGCTGACCACCCACCATGGCTCTGTGTCCCACCGGACAGCAAGGGCCAGAGCCCACAGTGCCACCAGGCAGAAGGGTGTCTAGAAGGGAGAGGCTGTGCTACCCGCCTGGGAGGAGAGAAGGTGGGGCGGTCGCAGGCCCGGGCTCCAACACTTACCGCGATTCTCAGGACCGACGCCTTCACTGAGGTCCATTTGTCCTGCCTCCGGTCTATGACCAGGATGAACCCAATGCCGGCATCCTGCAGGCTGAAACGAGGGGGAGCTGCGGTTAGTGGGCGCAGCTGGCAGACAGACTTTCCCGGCAACCTCAGAATAAACCGGCTCCTCCTGTCACCCTCCTGCCACTCCACACTGCGAGAGAAGACACGTGCCGAGTGGGCATCTGAGCAGACCACAGCCCTTCCAGGGCCCCGCCAGGCACTTTCCAGAGCTCGCTCCGACCGAGACAGACAGATCCCATCTGTGTGTCTCCCAGCCTGACACGAGCCAGCTCACGCCGCAGAGAGCCGGGCAGGGCCCATCTTTCCGGAGTCCAGTTTGTCCCGGTCAGAGCCGGGTCATTTTCCCTTCCATGTGGGCCAGCAGGCTGACCCCTTCACAGTAAGTTCTATGACCCACGCATCACGCTAGTCCCAGCGTCTGAGGTCCCGAGTTCGTCCATGTTACAAATCGCTGACGGCACTGCCACAACGTGGGGAGAAAATCCCCGAGGCGCCCGGAGGTGCACAGGCAGCTGCTGGGGACGAGAGATGAGATGTGGCTACTGGCACAGCAGCATCTGAGCGCTGGGAGTGACAGCCTAACGCAGGCGCCTGAGTCACAGTGTGGAAACCAGGAGCCACTTCCGCAGGGTGACGCCGCCTCCAGCCGGCTGCGGGTGCCAGCGCGCGCCCGCCCATCCACGTGGACACGAAGGGGGGCGCAGGCCTGGGGCGCTGACTTGAACTATTCCTTCTCACGCCTGGGAGCCACCTCAGGGTTCAAATAAGGACCAGAAATACCCGGATCACGTACAAGTGACCCCGTGGACGTGCTCAGCCTGAGGTCAACGCTGTGCGACAAGGCCTGAGCCAGGATGTCCCAAATCCTGACTCTCTGAGAAATGATGGCGACACAGCAAGTCGCCCCTGGGTGTGTGCTGAGCCCTTCTGCACGTTGGGCAGTGCAGGACCCCCCCTGCTCAGAGTCACCTGGTCCGGGACCCCCGACTCTGTTGTCCCTGCTACTCCACAGGAGGCCTTGGGATGGCACACCTGTTCTGACCCCAAAATAGGTTCCTCTGTTGCCCAAATGTACCCAGTTTTTGCCATGGAGCTGGGCAGCCCCTGCTGCCCTCAGCGCGTGTCCTGTGCGCAGAACTCGGGCACAAGCAGGGCGGGCAGCCGGGCTGCACATGGTGGGATGGCCCAGGGCCCCCAGCCCCGTCACCTGAGTCACCTCATGGCCTCTGCCACCTCCCTGCCCCCCGTAACTGGTGTCCTTGGCTCTTTATCTCGCTCTGCACTTTTGAACACCACGCGGTAAAAGTTCCGTAACACAAAAGGCTCATGTTTCAACCAGTGGGAGGACCAGCGCAAGCTCGTGAGGAGGCAAAGTCACCGACAGCAGAATCTTTTAGAATCAAAATCACGAGCGAAATATAAGAAATCCACTGGACCCGCAAAAACACGTCCCAGAAGGCAGGCTGCGCAGCGAGGACGGACGCCAGGGCAGGCAGCTCACGGGCCCGTTGTGGGAACACACGGCCCAGCTCTGCGGTCGTGTTGCTGCCCGGCAGGTGCCCGGCACCCGCACAGCGCCAGGGAAGGGGGGAAGCCCAGCCCGGCCCCCTTCTCTCCTGCTGGGAGGGGTCCTACGGGCAGGCGTCGCACTGAAGCTCGGGGCCAGTCTTCTCGCAACGACCCAAGAGATAGGCACTGCTCTCTCATCAGCCCGGAGTGGAGGGGCTGGGGCACAGAGAGGTTAAGTCATTTGCCCAGAGTCACACAGCTGCTGAGCACTGACAAGTGAGCCCCACGGTCTGGCTCTGAGTCCAGACCCCCAGGCTCACTCTGCAGGATAAAGTAGCCCCTTCCTCCTCCCGACCCCTGGGCTGCCTCCTGCGTCAGGCCAGGCAGGCCTTTCCTCTCAGGGGACCTGGCCCCAGGAACACACAGCAAAGAGGCCACATGCCTGGACCCGGCTGGGGCCCTCTCATTCCCACCACACTTGGGGAACACTGACTCAGAGGCACAGAGACGTCACAGAACGCACCTCACGTGGGGATGTAGGGGCCCTTCACGCCCCCTGCGCCCAGAGCAAGGCCCCCAGGAGCCAGGGCCCTGCAGTCCCGGGGTCCGGCCACTCACCCTCCACCACACCCGCCCCGCATCTGTGACCTCACGTGCCCGGGGAGAGGGCGGGCGGCCCCCGCTCAGAGGCACCAGAGGTCAGCCCCCAGGGCCCTCGAGCGCCAGGCCTCGGGCCGACGGTGCTGACGGCGGTGGCCGCAGAGGAAGCTGGAGGGAGTGGCCTGGAAGCCGCAGCCGCACAGGGAGGTGCTCCCAGGACCCCAGACACACGTGGCCCTGCGGACACAGATGCCGGCCTCCAGCCTCCTGGCAGCTGGCTCAGCGGGGCCGCCCTGGACAGCTGCCCAGCAGCTGGGAGGGTGATGAGCTCACTTTTGGCTCCAACTCACAAATGGCGTGGAGCTCGCACAACTTCCGGTTCTTGTGTCCTTGGGTCCGCTGTGCCCCTCTAACACCGGGGCCTGCGAACTTCTCCGGGGTGGCCCTCGGTGGCCTGGGGTCCGACCCCCATCATCCCCCGCCCCCCATCCGGGCAGGAGCAGCGTGAGGAGTCAGGAGACAAGGGCTGGGCAGTTCCCCGCTGCGAGGCCAGCCGTCCCGGGCATCACACTGTCCAGCTCTTGGCCCAGATGCAACTGTTCTCGGACCTGACACAACTTGGAGCAGAGACGGGCGGAGACACAGAGATGCCGGGACGACAGAGGGGAGGGCGGTGGGAGAGCCAGGGTGGAGAGGGCGGTGGGGCCAACCCACCCGAGTGCGTCCCCAACAGCGGCGCACCCGGGACTTCCGAGGTTTGTTAAACGCAGACCCGGGTGCAGGGGGTGCATTTCAGGGGGTGCATTTCCAGCGGCTCCCAGATCTAAGGCAGGTCCCACGGACAAGCCCTGGGGACTTTCCATGATCAGACCCCACGTCAGCACGTCCGAGCTTCTGCCCCAGAGGAAGATCCTGGAAGGAGGTCCGGACCCCTGGGGTGGATGCTGGACCTCCGCCTGGGTGGGGTCAGGAGGGAAGTGGGGGCCGAAAGGAGGGGCAGTGGCGAGCCCCCCGCGGTGTGACCCCGTGGTTTCCATCAGCCCCGTGAGCTCTGACGCCTCCTGCGGCCGCGGCGGGGCACTTCTCAGGAAGAGGGCACGGTGCACCCCAGTAAGAGAGGAGCCCTGCGCTCCTCCCTGCCTTTGTTAAAATGGGGAATCACGACCCCAGTGCCTGCAAGAGCTTAGAGCAGAGAGAGACCCCGCGAAGGGCCTGGCCTGGGGTCAGGGAAGCACCCGACCACCGAGTCGCCCCTGCCCTGCCCGCCCGGGGGAGCCCTCGGTCACACCAGACCTGGTGGCCCCTGCTGGCCTGCTGCTGCCCAGAACCCCCGGGGGCCACCGTCCCGAGGTCCGTGACCCACAGCCTGCAGCCCAGAAACCGGCCCGCTGGTTGAGCGCCCACCGGGCAGAAAGCATAGCGACTAGAAAAACATCCACCTTTGTATTGGGGGGTGGTAACCAGGGTCATTTGTTTATCTGCTTTTTTAGAGGAGGGGCTGAGGAGCGAGCCCAGGGCCTCGCGTGTGCTGAGCGTGCGCTCCACCGCTGAGCGGTCCCCTCCCCCACCGTCCAACTCTTTCTACAAAACTCTCCCGCCCGGGGCAACAGTACGTGTCTGTTCTCACGGCCCCGTCGGCCCCGTCAGGGTGGCGAGGGCCAGGCGCGCACGGAGGACCGCGGGCACCGGCCAGGGAGCCCCGGGGAACAGCCCACTCCCCACAGAAGCACGGCACTGTCTCCAGAGCCCGAGAACATGCGCCTTTCACTCTTTATGTTGTTGTTTCTTCCCGCGTCAGCACCAACACGAACGTACCCAGGACTCGTCTGAGCGGACGCACGCCGGGGGGAGGTCCGTCCGCAGACAGTGCCGAGGTCTGTCTCACGGCGGGAAGGAAAGCGCACCTGGTTTTCAAAGACCGATTTCCACCCAGCTCAGGAGCACAGCTTCCTCCAACATGACGGACGAGCACAGCGTGGTCCACGCACGCGATGGAGTCTACCCCATGTCAACACGCTACAACACGGATGGACCTTGAGGACGTCACGCTTGAGGACCAAGCCAGACACGAAACGACGACTTCTGTGTGACCCCACTTGTGTGAGGTCCCGGAGTCGTCAGATTCAGAGACGGAAAGTAGGCGGTGGGCGCAGGGGCCGGACGGCGAGCAGGGAGGGAGTGTGTAACTCGGACAGAGTTTCAGCTCCACAAGACGACAGATTCCGGGGGTCTGCCGCACACCAGCGTGCGCTCGGGCAACACCACTGAACTGCACACTTAGAAACAGTCAGGACGGCAGGTTGCTGCGTGTTACATGTGTTTCTCCGCAACTAGAAAAATTATACTGAAAACCCCCACCACCCACACGGCTCCCTTAAATGCACACCCAAAAAGACACACACGTGCACACTGCTGGCCACTCCTCTGTAATCGCGGAGTGACCTGCCCCTCCCCAAGGGCACGGAGACACAGCACCACCTGGGGAGTGAGACGCACGCGGAGCACCTTCTGGAACCCTCGGCGTCTGCTGCCGATCCTCCTGTTCACGCGCAGCAGGGTTCTCTCTGTTTCGTCGCCGCCAGGTCCCAGGGGGTGTCCAGATCCGGCCACATCTCACCCGCCCCCGCACTCCCCTCCTGTCGCATGAGCTCTGCAGGGAGGCAGGCTGGCCACAAGTCCCTGGAGTTGTCCCCACCGGCCTGCAGACGGTCGCGACCCATCAGGAGCTGCAAGAGCTGTGGGCGCCCGGGCAGTGGAACCAGCCCCCAGCCAAGATGGGCTCAGAGGCGCCCCCCCGCCCTGTGTGGCCACTGCGGGGGCGCTGCCGGCCGACACCCTGGCTGATGAACTGGTCCGTCCAGCTTCCCCCACGGGGCGTCTTCCAAAAGACCCACGACCACTGCACACTCACAACCGTCTGCTGCGTCAGGACGAGGCCTGCCCGTCAGCCGTCAGCCTGACGTTTCACGAGGGCCGGTGACTGTCAACCAGATGTAATGGCTTAACCCAGTGACCCATCGCCCGCACACAATGACTGAAGCAAAGCCAGGGGGTGTTTCTAAAGGACCAACGAAGCTTCGTCAGCGGCTCTAAGGTCAGTGTCCTGGAAGCGGCCTCCACGAGAGGTCCGTCCACTTAACTTGTGTCTCCGTTTAAAGCGCACGCGGTCCTAGATCTCATCCTCCACTTCGAGGCTGTGCTGGTGCATTCACTGTGCGGGGTGACCAGCCGGTGTGGGGAGTTGCCCCTTCTCGAGAAGCACCCGCCCACCTCCCCCTCCTGCCATCGAGGAGGAAGGCCGGAGGGGCCTGCGCTGCCGACCGCGTCCACCAGGTGGCAGCCCCTCCTCCCGAACACAGCGAGCACAGGGCGCCCCAGGTTCCCGCAGGAGGGGGGCCTGCCCCCACACATGGGAGTCCTCCGGGGGCGGCACCCAGGCCCCTGCTGTACCCCCGACACCCATACTTTCTCGTGTGCCCTGAGTGGTCTGGAAACAACTGCGGGGTAAGCGGTGGGTGAGTGCACTTCTGTCTCCTTAGGACCCCCCACTCCTTCCCCCCCGCCCCCGAGGAACCAGCCCACAGCTGCCAACAGCCGCTGGGCCCAGGGCTCGCAGTCCCGCAGGCACATCGGGCCGGGGCCCCTCCCCTCGACGGTCCTCCTCGCAGCGCCCGCGAAGCACGGGGCTGGGCTCCCACGCGGGAGATTCACTCCGGATGAAAGGGCCCTGCCGCACCCTCCACCGGGAGGGAGACACGTGAGCAGAGTCACACCGACCAGCGCCACACACACGGCGCCTGGAGACGGAGCCCGCGGGGCTGGGCTGCGCGTGGTCAAACCACCCCGGGGCCCCGTCCCAGCACCGCTGCCCCACCATGCGGAAGCGAAGCGCCGCCATTCCGCCATTCCTCCGCTTCAGAGGGAAATGTGCTTCTTGCCCTTGGGGCTTGTGCGTGGACCGTGCCTGCGACCTTGGACGCGAGGATCCGGAGAGGCCCGACCTACTGAGGCAAGAACCCCTTAAAAACAGAAGAAACAGAGGTGCTCGTCCCGCCTGAAGGGCAGGTGAGCGCGCTGGAGCGAGGGCGCAGAGGCAGCCCTGCCTGTCAGGCAGGTGGCGCCCTGGGCTTCCTCTGCTCTCTGCAGGTGAAGCCCACCTGCCAGCACATGTTTGCGGAGGAGCCACGTGCTGCTCTCGGGGCCCCTGTGCAGGGGAGACAGAGACCGGCACCGGGCTGTCAGGTTACAGGTGACACTCCAGGTGAGCCTCGTGAAGCCGGCTTCTTTCCTAGGTGTGCAGGACAGAGGGCATCCCAAAGGAGGTGGCCTGCAGCCTGGGAAGGAGCCGTCTCCAGTGCCCTGGGCGGAGGAAGCAAGTGCAAAGGCCCTGAGGCCAGGAGGCCTGAGGACCAGCAGGTGCAGCAAAGGTGGTGACCCAGGGGAGGGTAAGGTCTAAGATTGGCCTGTAGTGCCTGGGAAAAGGCCGGCCTCTGAGATGGGTGTTGGGTCTGCTGGGTAGAAAATGACTCTTTGACCTTTCCAAAACTAAGAGTGACCTGAAACCCCGTGTTTCCATGCACAGGCAGGTGAGGGTTCACCGTGCTGAACTGTTCCAGGTGGGCAGTGGGAGACCACTCACCACCCCCCGGCCACGGCCTGTTGTTTAGCTGACACCGAGTGGTCACCATAGCAAGGCCACCCTCTGGACACTGAGTCCGGGCCAGCCAGCACCTCGGCCGGGGCTGGGGAACCACGACTCCAGCTACAGAGCTGGTTCGAGGTGAGTTTTAATCTGCACGACTTTGGATCGTAGGGACAGAGAAAGGAGGTGGGCAGTGAGGAGGCCACGGGACAGTCCAGACCTCTCTGCAAGCGCGGAGCCCTCTGGCCTGCACATTCTCTGCTTCTGAGTTCTCTGATTCTACCCACTTATGGGTCAGGAAAGAGGAGCAGGTGGTCGAGGGGCTCCACGCAGTGTTCTGCTGTGAGGATGGGCAGGGCCGCCCCGCTCACAGCCCACAGGGGTAGGACCGAGACCACAGCCTCAGACCGTGGACAGCGCCCACACAGGTCCTAGCTGGGAGCTCCTCTGCCTGGCTTGGGACAGGCCTGTGCCGCGGGAGAAGTTGGGGGGCAGGACAGCCACGGTGGGAGGAGGGCTGCAGAGGGACGAGGGATGCCCGGGGAGACGTTACAGAAGGGAGCATGGGGAGCTGGCCAGAGGCCCGCCCTGCAGAGGACCAGTGCGGCTGCCCAGGCACCCACAGTCAGCTGCCAACAGACACCCCATCTTCTTGTGAAATCACCAGACTCCCCAAACCAGTGCTGAGAGCAGCTCCTTCCTCTTGCTGGTCTGACCCAGGTGTCCCCACCCCAGGGGCCGTGCGGCTTTTCTGCATCCCATTGCTGGGCTTGCCAAGAGCTGGACCCACCATCCCCACCCCAAGGACACCCTGCGGTGACACTCCATGGGGGAGCCCCCTCTTCATGTCCCTCTCCAGACCCCTGATCCTACTTCAGCGATGTCCCCCGGGGCCTAGGGCTTCGTCCTTGACCAGCGGTGACACCTGCCTTCCTGGCTGTGACTTCAAGGGCCAGGGAAAAAATAAACAAAGACGCTTTGCAGTACAACAGGGCCCCCATGAAGCCCCTCGAGGGGGCTGGGCCAGCCCAAGGGGCCCTGAAGGAAGGCCACGTGCCCCCAGAACACTGAGCACCCCTCTCACCTCAGCGCTGCCGCCCGGAGCCCGGCCCAGCGAGTCGGGTACCGAGAAACATGGAGACGGAGGCGCACATCCTCCGTCCCTGGGCTGCACGTCCCCCAGCTTTCTCTGCCAGGTGACCTCTGCCCAAGTCCGTCCAGACGGCTCCCCTAGCTTAACCTCCCCACCCACAGGTTTCTGCAAGAACCTATGCCCCCTCGCAGGCCCCGCCCTGACTAGTGGAGACCGACCACTGCTGACCAGCAGTTCCCGTACGACGGGCGTCGTCGGGTGGTCAGACCTACCGTTTAGGTCAGTCTCCCAGATTAGCCTAATTCATGGAGCTCTGTTACCAGCCCCTGAAACCCAGAGGGAGAGAGCTGACGGCTCCTGGGCAGAGCCTCCCGCTGCGGCCGGTCCGTCCCCACCCCGGGCACCACGTGGCTGTCCGCGGCGCCCTAACGAGGCAGCTGCAGCCGCACCACTTCCGAGAGGGAGACCAGGGACGACACTGGGGCTGCCTGGTGTCCACTCCTCGCCCCCTGGCTCCAGGATGCCATGCTGCCCGCTGTGGCCAGTGGGCTCAGAGAAGCGCTCCCCACCTTTCTGGAGGGCAGGGTCTGGTTCTGCTTGCGACAAAACACGCACCTGGGGATGCTGGTGAGGTAGGTCATGACATTCTGGAACTCCTTGTCCGGGACCTCACCGAAGGCTGGGTAGTCGGGGAAGGTGATGACGGGGCTGCCGTCCTGCCCCCGCCCGCCTGGGGAGAGAGAAAGGCGCCACTTAGCTTGGCGGCCGGGAGGGGAAGCTCCCAGGTCTCAGCAGAACAGTCACTTTCCAGGAGCACCAAGTAACTCCCTCTCCGTGTTGTTATTAGGGGAGAACTGTGTGCTGTTGAGGGTCGGACCTGGAAAGATGTGAGATGAGTGAAACAAACACCTGTTGTTCCGCCTCCACAGGGCAGGGCAGCACGCTCCTCCCAGACCCTCTTCTTGCACTTCCCGCAGCGGAGACCGCACTGCACAGAGAGCTGGCGCCCTGCGTCCCTCCTGTGGTTGTGGACATGGTCTCCATGCCCCTCCACAATGCGCCCGGCACTTAGACATCGCACACGACCCCAGCTGCCCCTGACCCTGCACCTCTGCCCCACGAGACCCTGGACGGACAGCTTCCTCCTCACGGGAGCCGCCCCTTCGGTGCTGCTGGGAGGAGGTACAGGCGGGACGGGGGCACTTCCAAGGGAAGGTGCACCCAGCACACATCACACACAAAGCGGGCAGCGGCCCGGGGTCTGGGAAGGGAGAGCGGCCCCGCCCGAGTGAGGCCGTCGTGGAGGGGTGAGCGCAGACCAGGGCTGTGAGCTTGGTCTGAACTGTCCCCCAGCCTGGGGGAGCAGCACAGACGCCAGGCAGTGGGGCCAGGTGGGAAGTGCCCGCCAGCTGGTGTCCTGGGTGGCTGGAGACGGCCACCATTCTCCTCTGGGGACAGGGTCCGTTTCTCGTCCCTCTGAACCCAGGTCTGAGCTGGCGGCCTGCTCCAGCCCACAGGAGGCGGCAGACGCGGTGCGCGCGGCTCCCGAGGCCGCAAGTTGCGCCAGCATCTACCCCGTCAGGGCTCCTGCTTGGGAAGCGGTCATCACAGGAGCCACAGCCACACAGGGGAGCCGTCTGCCCCAGATCCGGGCCGAGGAGCGATCTACCCCACTGTCCCACAGGGCCACCAGGCCTCGGTGACAGTCGTTTGGGCCTGGGAAGGCAGCGGGCCCTGTGAAAACTGGCCAGAGTGTCCTCATGCTGGGAGTGGACAGTCTGGGTACCGGATGGGCTGGAGAGCGATGTGGGCGCCACTCCCGCTGGGCTCTGCTGACGGGTGTCCGTGACACCCAGGACGGCCCAGCTTGCTGTGGACGTTCAAGCTCAAGATGCGTCGTCACGGGCTCCCAAACTAGGCGACGTGAGCAGCACCCCACGTCAGCTCGCGGTCTGGGGTCAGAAGGGGCGGCCGGCTCGGCGGTGCCCCGACATCCGGCTCCCTGGGTGGTGGGGCTGAGTTCGCTCTCAGCCCCCAGGGCGTCCACGTCCCTCCAGGCGGCCCCATCCTCCGGCTGGTGGCAGGGAACCTCGGGCACATCAAGACCCTCATCCTTGGAACCCTCGGTGCCTCCGAGGGCCCAGCGCTTCGTCAGGCCCCCAGCTCACAGCCGCTCGCTGGGGCCTCAGTTACTTGCGCAAAACCCCTCCCCGAGTGCCTGGGCGGCACCTGAACAACAGAGGAGGCGTGTCTGGGGCTCCTCCCACGTGGTGACACCACAAGTCACCACGGTAACACCAAGGGCAGGCGTGGCAACTTGGAGGAAGGTGGAGGTCACGACCCCGTCCCACTGGGAGACTCATTTCTCGGAAGGACACCCGCTCTGTCCTTCCTCCGTGAGGCCGGCACCCCTCGTGGCAGCCGCCCCACCCAGAGGGCCAGGACGCTGTCTCCACTTCCTGCTCCCAGTCTTTGGTCCTCGAGAGGCACTTCAACCCTAGAGCAACACCACAGTTCTGCTCCTGGGGGACGGTGGGGAGAGCCCCGGGGTGCAGGGGCGGCTCTCAGGGCTCAGGAGGGACCTTGACCTGCTGGCTAGAGGCCATCATCCTCCGGACCCCTAAGGGGCATGCAGGGAGCCCTGGCAGGCAGGCTTGCCCGATGGAGGAGCGACCACGCCAGGGCACTGCACTTGGGCAGCTGGCACTGTCCAGTGGCTGGGGTCGTGCACCTCGGCCGGCAGGACAGGACGGCAAGACCTGGACCCAAGGGGAGGGCAACAGGTGGATCATGACCAGGACACGAAGTGACCCCAGCATAGGCTCCTGGGCAGTGCCAGCACCTCGCCCATGTCAGCCGCACCTGGGGCACAGAGGACGGAGCCACAGAAGCCAGACCCCAGGCCCCGGACACTGCACGGAGGCTGACTGTGCCGCAGCTGTGCCTACTCGCCTGCCCCAGGGAGCCCTGGCGTCCAGGAGGCCTCAGCAGCTCTAGGGCTGCATCCCCCTTGGGACCCAACTGACCTCTGGCCTGTGCCCACCAGCCGCCCTGAGCCGCCCTCGTCACAGGCGTCAGTCCAGAGGAAAGCGGGCTGCACCACAGCTGGCCCCCAGCCCCCACCATGCAGCCAGGGGTGAGCCACCAGCCGGGCGGAGCAGACCCTCCCTCCCCGCCACGCGGCCCGGGCTTCGCACTCACCAGACAGGTAAGCGAAGCACTTCTGCAGCTGGTCCTGGATGTCCGCAGCGCAGAGCGGGCTGATGTCCTGGTGCATGATTTCATCTGTGGGGAGAGCAGAGCAGATGGACACATGCTGTCACTCAGGAAACTGCCTCACCTGCCACGAGTCTGGGCCAGCCCCCCGCGGCCGCGCACCGTAGCAGACACCTAAGGGGACCCGCGGTCACGTGTCAGGAAAAAGGAATGTCAGTTTCCAGCATGCAGAAACCTTTGTTTCTCAGGGCACAAAAAACTGTGTCCTGAGCGACTCATCGACGTTTAAAACGTGTGTGTCGGAAGTGGGGGGAGGGGCGGGGGCGCCTGGCAGCAGAGGGGAGGCGCCGGGCAGTGGGGCGGGGCTTGGGGCAGCGCCAGCACCTCGCCCAAGTCAGCCGCAACCGGAGGGCCGACCCCTAACACAAGCGGTCAGAGAGCTGCACTGAGGGAGAACAGACCCCTTTGGTCTGCAAGTGTCCACCCATGTCCCAGAAGTGGGCGGGCCACCCTGGGGCCTTCCCCTGTTGTCTGGCAGTGGGCAACCTGGCCACTGCAGTGGGTCCAACACTCATGCCTCCCCACTGCCCGGCACTGACCCCGAGGAGGGTGCTGAGCCCAGTCCTGACGCAGCACTGACCGGGCGCAGGTTCTGGATTGGGGCCTGGGAGTGACCGGGCAGTACTTCCAGCCACAGCCTGGAGGCACTGACTAGAAGCAGGAGGGCTCAGCGTGACTCCCAGGGGAACCTCGACGCCGAGGGGACGTGTGTCCCTGTCGAGCATGAGGTGCCAGGGCACTGGCGGGTGGGCCACGGAGCTGGGCCTGCTCCACGTGCTGCAGGGACCCTGCGTCTCTAAGTTGATGCCCGGCTGACCACACGTGGTGTACGGCCCGGACCAGGGACGTTTGCAACCTTGAACATGAACACAGTTCCCTAAAGAGATTCGTGATGGTGGTGATGACTTGCCAACAGCTGGAAAGTCAGCTCTCCTTCCCCGCCCCTCTTCAGACCCTGGCCTCCAACAGCCGGGAGACTGAGGTCCCAGAGACCTCTGACCCCGGGGCTCGGTGGAGGCAGTTGGAAACCCGGCCCTCCTGGTCTTGCAGACAAGCAAAGAGGTGACACAGGGAACACACAGGCAGGCCCCCAGGCCCTGGCGATCTTTTCTGGAACTGCTGACCACATGGCCGGCTGCCCTTGGACTCGCCTGGTGCTGACAAGGAAGTGACTGGGTTGGTGCCCCTGGGCCTGCCGCCCAGACAGAGCGGCAGCGGGTGCTGGGTCCGGGACAACGGCAGCACATGCGCCTCCAACTCAGACGCCAGGACTCTGCCACCTCCTGGGCGTGGCAAATGTCTCAGCCATGCCTTTCTCTTTC